AAAGATGCTGAAAGAAACACTCACGTGTTTTCATTCTTTAAAAGAAGCATTGTCCTATCATTTTTCATGGTAAGAGGCACTGGTTTTCTTCTTAATATGAATTGAAATAATTGGTATTTACATGGTACATACAGCTCAAATTTGTTCTTTCAACAGTAATCCCTCTATTTTCCTTATTTTTCATTTATAAAATGCAGTTAGTTTTCAAGTTTTCAGAAATAAACCACAAATTTGTACATAATTTCAGTACCTTTCAACCAGAACCAGCAAAAGAAAGATCGTATCCCTGCAGATTCTGATCCACTACTTTGAAAGACCTGAAGAAAGTATCAAGATTTGTACTGAATTCAGGCTCCCACACTCAGGAAGCAAATTCCAGAGACAAGGCCCTTTTCTTGAAAATACCCTGCAACCAAAATACCAGACATTGCAGTCTTCGCATTGTTGGCTACAACAGCTCAAATGGCCTCAAATAAATACACAATACAGGGAGAGATGGTTTCTTCCTCAACTAGCCAATATTTTAACAGACCAAAGGCTAGCAGGTCATACTCATATGACTTCTTAAGATATATCTTAATAATACATTTCAAGAACGCTGGTGAACCTGCATCTGCTTCACAAAACATTTGCCATGGGTGAAGCTCATCAGAAGTCATGCCCACGTGGACGTTCACTGACAGCTGAAGTCACGTACAAGGATCTCAGTATTTGTTATTTTGGTGAAGAAAGGAGTCTCAGCAGACACTATCAGAGAACATACAGGAAAATAAACGGTTGCAAAGCCACCCAGAAGTAGGTGCCTTTGGGGAGCAAAGTGCACAGAAACTGCCTCGCTTGATGCCAACTGTGCTCTTGGAAATACAATTCCCTGTGTATTTTTTGAGATTAACAAGGTTAGCATTTAAAACAAACCAAAAAACCCCACATAGGAGTATACTGACAGAAGTGGGAACCGCCTTTCTGAGTCCTGTAACCAGACGTCACGACGGGTGAAACACTTTCTCCAAAATATGGCCCAAGCCACGGCTCTTCTGGCAGCAGTGAGCAATAGCACTGCTGATGGAGCTCTGTAGTCCAAATACAGTCAAAACCCAAGCTCTTTTGTAGTATCTTACACCAAAAGGGGAAGAATTCTTAGAAAAGTCATGAGAGTAATCCCAACTGCTGCAACTCTGAGATCATTTAGCAGCCAGCTACGATAATCTCTTCAGTGAATTAATATGGTTTGTCAAGCCAAACGAACTACAAAATGAGAAAGCCATGACTGTGCCATTAAGATTTGCTAATCATAAACATCCCCTTCAAAAACATTCTGAAACTCAGCCGAAATCAACTTACTATTGCCTTTATTGGTGCTTTCAGAGGAGAAGAAAAATGGCCCACCAACAACCCAGAAAAGCGAGAAGGACAAACAACTGACATCTGAGGCATCTTTAGAGAGGGACAGTGCCATTATTCCAGTGTACTGCTATTCACTCCAAGGCGACTGAAGAACAAAGATTAACCCAAAAGGCCTCACGTCCAGAAATCCTGACACTGCTGGCAGATCCAACGGAGCTGCTATCAGCACAGAGCCCTGCGCTGCTTTTGTCAGGAAGCTCTGTGCCAAACTGGAATAGGCTGCGTAGGCAGTACGTGTTCAGGGAGATAACAAAATGCGCACTGAAATAGAATTAAAACATTTTACAATTGCTATTATTGTGACTATACAATTAGATTGCCTACATCACCGTGTTTTACTGTGGTTTCTTTAGGATTCAAAGGCTCAGTTACACTACTTTGCTCAGGAATAAGAACATAAGAATTGCAATACGTAACTCAGTATTTTAATTTTAAAATCCCTCCTTCAACCTGCAAATATTAATATATTAGAATGTAATTAATATTTAACAGCCATTTACGTGGAGCATAAGAGAAGCTAAGCACACAGACATGGAATGGTAGGGGATGGAAGGGAGCCCTGGAGATCATCTCCTCCCACCTCCCTCCTATCACAAGAGAAATTATGTACAGAACTGCCTCATAAAAAAGAGATGAAGAGAAGAGATATTAAGAGATAGAACTGAAATCCAACGTAAATAGACATAATCAATTTCCAAAGCTGACACCGCATTGTAAATTATTTACAACATATAAATAGGTGCAACACTACTCCAGGTCCATTGAAAAAAACCAAAATGGCATCACAGAAGAAAAATGGCCCAGCATAGCTTTCGATTCCCCGCACCGCGACTGAATGAGTGAAATGCAAGAGGAGATGTGCCAAGTCACCCGATACTTGCGAGTCAGCTTAATCAGATACTCCCAGTTTCCTGCAGGATGGATAACAAACGCTGCTCTGCTGCTCGCTGCACACCACGTCTACCAACATATTTTCTGAGGCAGAATGATCCTAAAAACCTCTGCGCATCTAAACACAACGGGTCTGGAACCACACGATCTGACATAATTTAAGAGAAGGAGATTTAAATACAAATAATATATTGCAGGATATCATACACAGATAACTGTCATCATAACCTTATAATTTACTTTATGAGTTCCTGACTACCCTACAAAGTAACCCTACCATATCAAAACCTGACTCTGTACTCCTGACCACCCTCTGCCCTTATTTTTAAAAGCCAACACAGAAGTTCAGAAGACGATCAAAAATACTTTAAACAAATAATCCTTAAAAAAAATCTTGTCTGAAGTGTTACCTCAACAACAGCAAGCTGTGAGATATTCAACAGACTGAATTAAACAAGTAAATTCTGTTCTTCATTAAGACATGCATTTCTCTGTGAGGAAAACTTAAAAAGCACAGGCAAGGCCACTGCCATGAACAACTGGGATTTCATGGAAATTCTGCAACGCTTGAGTGTCATCAAAGAATACTTCTAACCCTTTTCTTTTTCAGGGAGATATATGCAAGAGGTACTATTACTATTTACTTCCACAGCAAGCTAACAGAAAAGCTTTTATTGTACCTTATTAACGTCAATAACGTGATATTAATTTTCAGCCTAACTTTATTCATACATTAGCACTGTTACGCATTTTATGAATAATCCCTTCGGTTGCTTCATCCATTTAAAGTTTTCATCCATTAGATATCGATTAGATATATATCAGATATATTCTTTAATGAGGATAAGCAGAAGAAAACAATACAGAGGACGAGAAACATGAGGAGCAAGAGCCCATTAAAGCCCAACCACCTGCCCTTTACTTAAAGTCTTCATCCCCTGTCCAAGTTATCCCAAAAATGAAGACAAACCAGCCATTTTTGTCATGTCAGAGTCATCCTTCCTCCAAAAAATAGGTAAAATACAGAAAAAAAATCTCTCTTGGATTTCTCTCCCACCCCATAAAGTTAAAAAGTATTCTGTCTTTCTAGAGTATTTTCCTTGCAAATGCCAAGACTTAAAGCTTTGCTAAGCAGCAGCTATCAGCCATGACGCGAGTTCCTCATTTTCACTGCCTGCACTAATACATTTCTCAAAGAAGAAAATAAAGCAAAGACATCAGTATTCAAGTCTACTCACAACAGCTAGGAAAATAGCTTGGCATTTTTCAACCTCAAAATCACCTGTCAGACCCCTTCCAAAAATACTGAATTCTCAAAAAGCGATCCTTTCAAATTGTGAATTTTCCCTCAAAGCAACATGAATTTCAAATAATTCACCCTTTTCCAATTTCTAGCTGCTCTCGCTCCACTTTTGCCATTGATTTTCTCACAGTATCAGAATAAAATAAGTCAGCTTGCAATATGCATTTCACTGCACACAAAGCACTACTTAGCTTCTTATTCCTAAAGGAAAATTGGACCACGTTTTTTGTTATTGCTCTATTTTATACTCTTCTCAGTCTCATCTTTCCCTCAAATTCCCATCCATTGAAAAAAAATCTGTAAAAATCAGTAAAGGATTTAAAACCAAAGGTTTTTTTACTGACAAACTTTCAAAATATTTTTAGTAAATCCATGTATGGGTGGTACCTAATTTTACCAGTTCCTCTTCTAAAGACAATCTTGATAATACTGGGAAGGCTCTAATAAAAATAGAGTGCTCTCCGTGTCAAGTCATGTTACTGAGTCATTTTTCCTTCAATAGCAAATGTTCCAGGTATTAAAAAAAAAAGAGACAGTGCTTTCTTTGTTCGACTTCACAGAATTACACAAGCATAAAAAGTTAGCATTTACAGAATCTAATAGTGCAGAAAAATGTAGAATCTATCTAGTAATCTCGAATATTTATGGCCTATTTCTTTAATCAGTCTCCTCTCTCAAAGATCACTTTGTTTTGTGCCTGGGTGCCTCTGATTCCTCTTCTCCTGGTCTCACGGGTACTTGATCCCACATTTCTAGCTGCCTCTTGCCATTTCCTTGTCCCCACACAAACTTAAATCCATCCAATCCCATTGTGCTTTACTCTTTCACCTCCCTTTTGATTTTCCATGCAGTCTCTGCCTTTCATCCCAGCCTGTGTTGGATTAGGATGCTGCACAGCTTCACCTCCACACCGAGTACGCACAATTCTGCTGCTGCTCAGAGGCAACGTGCCAATTCCCGTGGAAAAACATCATGAAAATACAGTGTTTAAGGAAACAGTGACTCTCTTTTTAATCCTGCCAGCAGTAATATGAGACACAACAACCAATTTCACTGAGGGAAGACAAGTATAACACTTCTTGTCATACCATGTAAGTTCTTTGTTTCTCCTGTTTTATAAATATTTATGTATAAATGGTAGTTTTCAGAATCAGGAGCTGAGAAAAACTTTTTCACAATTAACTTCCTACCTAGATGTGTCCAGATTCCAGAAGAAAAAAAAGCCCACCCGAATCAAAACACTTCCTGAAGAAAAAACTGTTCCAGATCAAAATGCCCATAACCAGATGTACTTGTCCTGTGGCACCCTTTGAGTACACTGCTCCGTGTTTCGGTTCATCACCAGCATTTAGGCTGAGCTCTGTCTTTTAAAGACTTTGGATGAAAGTAATCTCTTACTTACTTTGTGTCTTTGACGAGAGGTGCGCTTCCCAGTTTAAAACAGATCTTTTCCCCTCCACAAGATGTTTTCCTCAAAGAAAAGCTTTCTGCCAGATCAAACCCTGTGGAAAAAAAAGATGCAATGATTTAGTTTATTTAATAGGATTTTTTAAAAAATTAGGTAAATAATGAGGTAAAAAGCTTTTAGCATGCTTGGTGACTTTCTAGAGTACAGTCTGACAAACTATTTTGAAAACCAGTACTTGAAGTCAGAGAAACTTTCAATATTCATTTTATCGACGGACAAACTATCAGTGAAAAATCCACTCAGTAGATGACCTTGCAACCTGAGAAATGCATTCGTTATTTCCTCTTATCATAAGAATGAAGGATGTTTGGGAAAAACAAAGGAAATGAGTGTGGCTGAAAAATTTGAACCAATACTTTCCAAGAACAACGTGTTCTCATTTCAACCCCAACTCCCTAAAAACAGCAGCAGCTTTTGGAGGACGGGGGTGCCATTCTGCACTGGCCTTTCAGCATTAAAGCCAGCTTCAGCCAGACTATGATTACATCCACTACGAGCCAATTTATTTGGATATCCATACTAACTCAGCCATTTACCTGAAACACCAAGACTGTCTGTGGTCGTTTGCTTGAGATGATGGACAACTGTTTTCATCAAAGGACACACGGCACCTCGAAGAGAATAATACAGTTCAGTATCTGTCGTCAAATTTGTGACCAAAAATTGATCAGAACAAAGTATAATGGCAGTGATAATACTATTAATGGAAATGGGGGTTTTTTTTGCTTCTTTAGGATATGAAAACCAGCAGTAAACCAAATTACAAAAGCTATAAAAAAGCAATGTTCTTTCAGATTTCATACTATGTGTGTAATAATATAAGCAGATAAAAAATTTTATCACATTTTAATTCAGCTGTTTATGATTAAAGCTCATGTGAAGAAAATAACCAGACAAAACCCACTAAATTCTTACCAAGCTCTTTCCATCTACAATTCTCTAGAAAGCAATAACATCTGTTCGAAGGGTTTTTTTTATTATTTCTGGCTATATTATTAGAAAAATCTTTTTTCCCCATTAATGAACATGAAACATGAAAGCATAAATGCCTGACTACCATGACAATAATCTGTTGTTACTTAAGTAAAGAATAACTTCAAAATGTGGATTAAGAAGGATATAACCATATCCTATATTAAGCAGTGTAAGCAATACTTACATTTTGACAAGAAAAAAAGGTTGAAAATTAAGCAGCTTTACAGAGGTTTAAGTTTGAATCATTTAGGTAAACAGGCAGAAAGTTATAAAATCTGGAACACAGTAAGTTCTTAGGTTAAATCTAACTGAACACTTAGGTCAAACACTGTATTATTAACATGCAGTATATACTTGTGTGAAGTCCTTTTTTTTATATACTCAGGAATACACACTTTTAAGAAGCAAATACAGAAAAATACCACTTTTGTGCACAGGTCAGAAATAGGGTTCCTCCTTTAACAAACTTTACACATAGCCCCGTTAAACCCTTAAATAAAGCTATCAGACAGAAAATATCAAGTGGGATTTGGCCAGTGCACTTCTCAAGCACAGAGCTCCACGTTGAGCTGATGCAGCTAAAAAGATGGCCAAGGTACGGCTGAAGCTGCTGAACAGTGAAGGGGCTTTTCTGAAGTGTCAGCTCAATGGAGAAAGGAAGGAGAAATGTCCTACCATTAACCTGGAAATCATCTATATTTAACGATTTCCAAGGGCATCCAGACAGAAAGGTGGCATTCAAAATAGCTGTATTTGTAATCTTTAAGCATGTGAAATAGGTCATTCATTCTGTAGTCATGCAGGAAACATGTTATCCTTCAAAAGTCTTAAATTCTATTAAACGTATCACAGTATCTGATCCGGATTAAGAACGGCTAATTGGAAACAACCAGTAAAAGTGAGACTAAATGATCTAACACAGATGTAAAGATGTCTCCTGACAACACGGTTAATGAAAACTGTGTTGATTTTTTAAAAAGCAGACTGAGTGGAAGGCATCTTTTCATAAGATTTATAAAGTTCCACGTCCTTTACATCTAAATTGCTATCTGCAGTTACAAGTAACATCAATCGTAAATGGAATTATTTTTAAAGACACTACAAGAATGTATTCGTTTTTTCCTTCATACATATACATACAAAAATGTGTGCATATGCGTGCATTTACCTACACAGATAGCTAGCTACAAAGTTTCATGACAAATGAGGTTAAACATATGCATTAAAAACATCAATTCCCACTGCAAATTCCCTTTCCCCAGCAAAGCAGCAGAACTGTTAAGAATATTCAAGCTGAAGACTCTGAAACTGAAATGAAATCTTTCATGATTTTTGTTTTGCAGGGAGTTTTATGTAGTGTGAAAAGCATTCACTGGAGTTACACACTAACAGCAATTTTGATACACACACACACACGTTGTGAGACAGAAACAGGCTCACCTTAAATCCCCTTTAATCCACAAACCACAGCCTTCAACCACTTATACAGATTCTTAAACTACAGACTTTTATCTATAGCCAGTCTGGAACAATAAATGTGGCTATAGTAGATTTACACAGGAACAGCTACAAGAAATACACTGGTGTAAACGAAGCCTGTCATAGCTGAAGCCGCAAGAGCACGTCACACATACACTGACAAACATTTTTCTTCAATCTACATGTTTTCTAACCAAGATTTTTTTAAATATACATATCCAGACTATGGGACAGATTCCCTTTTTGGTTAAATTAATTTACAGTACTTCTAAGAGCAGGCAGATATAACTTATTGCTGATTTTACCTTGAACTGCTGCACTAATCTGTAGAGAACCTGGGACACAACTGTGCTTTTATTTTCAGCATTAACTTACATGAGGGCCGAGTGGCAAAAGACTTTGGTGTTTCAGCTTATTCCCCCAGCCACTTTCTTTTAAGTTCAAATAAAGACTTGAGTCTTAATTTCTGTGTTATCCAGATGATAGCAGTGATTCCTCACATGCCACAGACCGGACTGTGGTCCTATTTTTATCAGAGGCGTAACAGACACAGCGTAGACCATGTAAGTGTTACTTATTTGGTTGTATTCCACATCCACAGAAGAACTGCAAGGGTTACTCAATCTTCTATTCTCATGCTGCTGATGCACTCCTTTAGGCCAATGTTATTCTTTCTTACCAGAGACCTAAGGCAAAACTCTCAAATACTAGAACTGAAACCTCTCCATACCAACTGACGACTTTCATTGCTATAAACTGATGATAATTCTTTCTACAGTTACAGTTTGGACAGTCAAAAAGTTAGCCTCTTCCAAGATTTTTAGTACTGCTGGCACAACTTGAAATTTCCTTTGGCTCGAGACAAAACATTTTACCCATTCGGCCTGTGGGTAGCTGAAACAGACCTACATGAAGACACAAGACAAACCCTTACCGCTAATCCAGGCATGGAAAGCATGCACCTGTCTGCCCTGTTACAATACCTCACTATAAAACTGATGAGAGTAGAGAGGATGTGCTTACATTTATACACAAGAGTGCTCTGCACATGATAAAACTGTGTCTGTCTGGATTGAAGTCAACAATTCCTATTAAAATGATGTCAAAGCTGAAGCTAACATACTTATAAAGTAATGAGATCACCTATCCACAAATTACAGACCGTAATCTTTAGAAAGCAATGAGCTCTACGTAGGAACTTATTATTATAAAATCAAGGTATTTATTTATGCAGATCAATCAGGTGTATCACAGACCACTGATCTTCTGTCTCTCCAATAGGACGCTAGTGAGAAGTTTGTTTTCTAATAGCATTATGCAAAACCAAAATGAAGGCGTTTCATTGAGACTTATCTGCTGCAACATGCAAAGGCATGTTGTGAATTCCTGGGATGATCAGGGCACCTGTTGAAGCATGCTGCAGCTTCTCTCTAGGCCCCATGCCCAGCTTTCCTTTCCGTGCAAACGAGGACAGAGTGGTGCATACTTCAGTCTCACCCTTACAGACATCTCTTGGGTGCACTTCCTGGCTGTGAACTGAAGCTTCCAGTAAGCACTCCTGGCTCCTCCAGATCAAGTGTGACCTGTATTGACCAGATTCACTTCACAAGTACCTGTCTGCTACTTTATAATTCAGCTTTCTGTTCAGGTGAAGTCTTCAGCTACCATTTAACACCACCAATATGTACATTGCAAAGGAAGCAGAGTAAGCATAACCATCTGTAAGCATGATTGGCCAAACAGCAAAGCCCTACTTAACACAAATCACAGAATCACAGCATCACAGCATGGTTTGGGTTGGAAGGGACCTTAAAGCCCCCCCAGACCAACCCCCATGGGCAGGGACACCTCCACCAGCCCAGGCTGCTCCAAGCCCCGGCCAACCTGGCCTTGAACACTGCCAGGGAGGGGGTACCCACAGCTTCCCTGGGCAACCTGGGCCAGCATCTCACCATCCTCACAGTCAAGAATTTCTTCCTCATATCCAGTCTAAATCTCCCCTCTTCCAGTTTAAAACCATTCCCCTCGTTCTATTGCTAGCTGCCCTTGTAAAAAGTCCTTCTCCAGCTTTCCTGTAGGACCCCGGAGCCTTCTCTTCTCCAGGCTGAACAGCCCCAACTCTCTCAGTTGGTCCTCATAGGGCAGGTGCTCCAGCTACTGATCATCTTTGTGGCCTCCTCTGGACCTGCTCCAACCGCTCCATGTCCTTTCTGTGTTGGGGACCTCACATTCTATGTTAGACTCAAGCCTCAGGTATAAACCTGTACTAGGTAGGATTTGTCCTGCACTCTGGATCAGGCTTCATATATATGTAGGCATAGGGAACTTCTTCAGAGTGTGCAACATACCTGCAAGTGTCAGCAAGTACATCCAACAAGTCCCCCTCAAAGTTATTTCCTACTGCACATAAGCAGACTCAGCTGGCGTGCTTTCCAGTAGGGTCAAGAATTCAGATTTTGTACACACCTGTACCCTCACATACAGAGGTACCAGAAAATCAGATGCATTTTTCTTCTTTTCCTTTTTTAGTCTGTAATCCACATCATATTACATCAGGATATATGTGTTAATTAGGATGGGTACAAAGAGAAATTAAGGAGACTGAATCTATAACTTTGTTGATAGAGGAATTAACTCCAAGTCTGGTGCTATTTATATGGATATATAAATACCATAAGAGTTTTGGCAGGTGAGATTAAGAAATCCATACTAACAGAGTTCAAGTATTAGGATGCTTGCACCAGATCCTGGAGAAATGAATTTCCCATAGCTGAAGTGGCTTTCCACAGTGTACAGGCTTTCACATTCATACAGACACCTAAATCCCCTTATTCACTGCCCAAGAAGACTTAGCATTTAACAAGTTAAGGAATCCAAGGGTGGCTTAAGTGCTGCAATGCTAACAACAGTTTGTGGATCCAACCGTAAATATCCAGAATTAAATATTAAGAATATGAACACATTGTATATGAGAGTTACTGCAGAGTCATTATCTTGGTTTTGAGAAGTAGCCAGCCATACTAAAACACAAAAACCAAAAAGCTGAACTGATTTTCATACTTGAAACCACTCACTGTATTTGGGTTAAAGCGCTAATCTAAAATTATGATCTCAAGCCAATACTTTTCACAACACATTCCACGTCAAAAGGCAATGGAAATTCACCATGCCTGACAGTCCCAGGACTTTGTTTACATTACATTTTTCATGGGTTAGCAAGTGACTTTGAAAAGCAGTAATTGTAAAAGAAAGTTGAAAAATCGGCAACGGTCTGGGAATGGGACAAAGTATTAATAATCCTAACACGGAGCACTCAGGAGTGATCAAATTAGAACTTGATGTGTCACTACAGAAAGAGCTCATGTCCACACTCCAAAACCAAATGTTCCCAATGGCAAAAAAATGCAAGTTGACAACATGAAGAAAATATTCTTGAAGTCAGATCAAAAACATGATTGTGGAGAACTCCTGAACCCTCTCTCTCAGATTTAGTATATTCTGTCACTAGAAGTGAGGGCTCCCTTCTGATGAACGCTTAGCACATCAAAACTTCTGGACAAGTGAGCACTGAAATAAATCCTTGATGTGAATTTAATGGTTTCTGACACGTTCAGAGCTAAAGGAGGACTTCTCTGAGAAGATCCAACATACTCTGTCACCCTCTGACATTTTTTTCCAGTACTGGTATTTATTTATTACAATACTGACCCACTGAATAAGTCCCAGAGTATACTCAGAACGCCAGCTCAGAAAGCTCTCCCTGGTGTGTATGCACAAAAGTTAAGTCCTTTCTCTTGCACTAGAGGCTTCCTTCCCCTAACACATTTCTTCCCGCCACCCTCCACTCAAATTAACTTTAATTTACACTTTTCCCTGCCTTTGAAGGTCATTCCTTTAGAGTCAAGTAGATCAGGTGAAAAATTTCAGGATGTAGAGTCTTGAATTACTGCATTTAAGTGAGCTTCGCTGGAAAAGCTTTCATATTAGACCAGCAAGAAATAAATGCTATGTATGTGTTGTTGAAGGAATAAAAGCCGAAAGGATTGCCTGAGCAGATCCCAAAGGACAGGTGCTGATCCAAAGAGAACTGGTACATGGGAGACAACAAAGGCCCCCAAAAAAGCCAGTTAATGAAAGAAAGAAGAGGGGGGGAAAAAAAGGTCAGATATTTCTCTCTTCTTGAAGTGAGCACATGTCCAATTCGTAACAGATTCACCTGCATACAAATTATCAGAGTAGAAGGAGACAACTTTGCAACACACTTCTCGGTTCAGCTGCATGGGGCAGGTTAACGAAAGGCTTGCAGACACACCTGTACCCCGCACTGCTGCACCGTCATAGGGTCCATTCTTTCTCAGCTCCTGCTTTCTGGCCTCTATCTCGTATTTCATTTTTGGACGGTAACCATCCCTGCAGTCTCTAGAAGAGTCTCTTTCCTGTTATCAACTTGAGATTTCATTCTGAGCCTATTCCCTGCTGTCGGCAGAGCTGCTCAAGCTGGCAGCGATCTCCTCACCATCTGCCTGGATCACCTCAAATTGCAGAAGCCTCTCAGTTGCACACTGTCAGTTCTCAGGAGAGGTTCTGTCTCTCCTCCTCTCCCCAGTGGTTCAATCTGACCCATATTTGATCCATTTGTGGCAAGCAGGTTAAGGAAAACTGCTACTTCCCTGCTGGCTGCCTAGCCACCAGCTCTGACAGAATGAAATGCACAGTTCAGATGTAGTGTTATCAGCTGCTCATGTATCTGTCACAACTACGACTGTTCCACCTTTTACTAAGACTTCTCTTCTTTTTATATTCTTTTTCTCCCCTAATGAAAAAAGACAATCCTTCCTGGCATTATGTTTTCAATTTTTTCAAGTTTACATTTATTCATTTATATTATTAGGAAATCTTCTGCAATCACACTCTTTTAGCACTTTCAAAACTTCCCTTCTACAATTTGCCAGCTAGCAATGACAGAGAAGGCAATTTATTCTGCTTCCTTCAGACAGCTGAAGAGAATGATTACACAGCTATGGTGTAGCTTCACTCTCTCACGGGTGTTAAGAATAATTCATCAGTAGAGCACTTAGCCTTGCTGCCCTACAAATATAAGGCAAAAAAGTCTGACTTAAATTCAGACTCTTCACAACACATTATCCTTACCTCAGAGCCCACACACGACACTTACTATTTATTACATATTACTACTGATTTTTTCCTGAAGTAGTAAAAGGATCATTATTCTAGTCATTGACTAGGGTAATTCTACGTTTCTTGGGTTTCAAATGTGTTACGAAGATTCAAAGCTGTTGTATATGTAGAGCTTCTATTATCTTTCATCAAGTTTCTGGAAAAACAGCGCTACTAAGAAGTTTTATTTTCAAAAAAACCCAACAGTCCAAGACAAAAAAGCACCCCCCAAAAAATGCACAACAAACTCTTCTAATTTCTAAACAGCAACAAGTAAGTTCTCCTTGCTAATAACTGTAGAGAAATTCTAGAAAGCGGAGGTACATGCAGAGGCCGAGCAGTTCTAGAAAACTGCCGACTCCTTACTCCACAAGCACACGTGAGGTGCCTTTAAGACAGAATTTACCACACTCTGTAGAGCCAATGTAGAGTTTAAGTGAGAGAGCTCGATAACACGTGGCCAGTAAGAGACAGAAGAAAAGTGTGAGAAAATGTGCAGAAGACTGGAGAGAACAGCTTTTACGTTAAACAATATCCCAATATTCTTTTCCCCTGTCATTTTAGACACAAGTGTTTGTCTAACTCTACATCTGTGAAACAGCTGACCTGGTCTGGGGATTAAGTTTAGGTGAGATTAACATAAGAATTAGTTTGTTTAGATCAACAGAGGTTTAATAAAGCCACATGGTGTTGTTCTCAAGTTCTGCAAGCTCTGATTTAGAATCTTGTTTTGCATGGTAAGTTGAAAAATTACAAAATAAAACTCCTAGGAACTACAGCTGCTTCCACACATGAATCTTCCAAGCACAGGAAACAGAAAGGCTGCTTTGGAACGGCTTCAAACTTAGTCTTTAAAAAAAGATATTTTAAGAAATCTTGTATAACTTTATCTGCTCATACTCCTTATTTTCCATGTACTGCTGTTATTTGGTCAGTGCTGAAATTTATGCCTTTGGTCTGTGATGGGCAAGAAAAATGAAAATACCTGTGTGATCACTGACAGCCACAGAAGTAGAAACAGGAAGGAGGAGGAAGACTGCCATACAAAGCCAAACCAAGCACGAACCAGTGTACTTCATCTCCTCCTGGACACATGTGAACAATCAGCTACAAATCTGAAACAGAAAATAAGCATATTCAGAACAATTTCTTCTTATTCTTTTCCCCTCACCCCAACAGAAAATGACAAACATTAATTTCTCAACTGTAAAGAGGAGGCTGCTAGTTGCACACAGAGTGTATCATTTATCTGTTGTAAGGAGCTACAAAGATACTTATGTAAATATAGAAATAAAGGGCAAATACACTCCTTCAGTTCTTTATTAAGCTCAGACGTAACACTTCAGAGATATTAGTTGTAAAGGCATAAAATTTTCATTTCATTAGTAATAAGTACTTTTCTTGTAATCTTCTTTCAGGATTTCAATTTTAAATACATTACCTAAACCATTTAGTGTCACAACACTACTCCTGATGTCTTCAAATCGAACAAGGATAACATACAGTTGTTTCAGTTTAAGTGCAAAAGAAACCAAAATGCAGTATTACTCTGCCTTGCAAAATATACAAGTTCCTAGAGCAGCCTGTATTGAGTTTACAGTTTAAATCTCACACAAATCGAGTCTGGCTTCAACAACACATCTTTTGTCATCTAAGGACAGTGTCAGCTTTTCTCTTAAGCTGACTACAATGTGTAGATACACATGAATTTAGTGAAACACAGAAAGTTACAAATATTTTTCTAATCACATTTTCTGTAAGAAAAAAAATCACATACCTAAGATGCAATTTTTATGATTATTTTTGCAAGGCATCATCATCAGAGCTATTCTGTCAGTCACACGTACTGACAGCCACTATACCGTCATTAACTTTTCCAGCCTCCCTAACAGCAGCAAAGTGAATTCATGTTCAAATAACATTATCATTTAATTTCCTGCACCTGCTTTACAAGCAGGCTTCAGTAATTCATTAGAGCTGCCTCGCCAGAGGTATTTTCTGGAGGCTTATTTTCTGGAGGGCTCTTGTCAATTAAATCACGGCCACCCCCTCGGTGCCATCGCGCCCCTGGGCTCTGCTCCTCCGGGAGGCTCCGCTCCCTCTCACCGCC